CCTTCCCCCTCCCCCATTTCTGAAGAAGGGTCCCGACCCGAAACGTCAGCTTTCCTGCTCCTCTGATGCTGCCTGGAATGCTGTGTTCCTCCAGCTCCACACTATGTTATGTTGAAAATCCGTGGTCATTTTCTGAAAATTGAACTTGTCCGTCACCAGCTTCAGCAAACAAACGATCGTTGGCAAAAGCTGAACTTGGTCTATTTTTGTATGGGACTTTTTAATCAATGAACCTAACATGTAGGCTAAAAGAACATTAATGCAGATGTTTGTAAGTCTCTGTTTCAGTTTGAAAGAAGAGGACTGTAGATTAAAAGTATTCTGTTCATTCAAGGATTTTAAACAGATAAACACATTTACTATTTGTTGCTCTACTCCTCACTCTGGAAAATTCATTGGGAATGGCAATTAACAGGAATTCCAGCATAGTTAACACTGTCAGCAAATGTGGTTGTTGCATGTCCTTCCTCAGAATTACATGCAAAACCAACAAGCAACTTCCTAAAATAAGTGTTCCAGGGCACTCTCACATGTATTAGACTGAACAGCAATGGGCCTAAACTTATAAACATTAAGTACAAGAAGAACGAAACAAACAAAAACAGAAAATTGGAGAAACTCAGCAAAGAAAATAGTTAACGCTTCAAATCCTGTGACCATTCTTCAGATCTGCTGAGTTTTACCAGAAATTTCTAATTGTTTTTTTGTTTCAGATCTCCAGCATCTGCAGATCTTTGTTTTATTTCAATATAGGAAGAACTATGGACTGGGAAAAACTAATTGAGTGCCTAAAAGTGACGGATATGCCAATTAAATATCATGAACCTGAAAAGTTTAATGTGGCAAAAGATAAGGGGATGTTTAATTGAAGTAAGGGAGTTTGAGCTACTGCAACTTTTCTAGTTTCTGAATTTGACCTCACACCAAATGTGTTGAGGCAGCTTTGCACTGAATCCTAACATTAGATTCATGTATTAAGCCATGTGCCTGCTTTCACAGGGAAACATCCAAGTTTATGCTAATTTTCAATAGCACCCACTGTCTACTACACATCTTCCACCATGCAGTCATTGTTCCCAGAAAATTATTTGCAACTGGCATTGTTCCAAGAAAGAAGTTATTAATGTCTGTGGCTTTGTCCATTGCTTTCCGAAGTGGAACATTTTTCAACTTGTTCTAGTCTTTTAGTTCCACTGAATATTAATTACGTAAAATACATGCCAATTTCACTGGTGAAATCAGGCCTTCACATATGAGAAATACATGGCTCACCACAGTGATTATGTATTACACTAGTTTTATTCGATTGATATAAATCACTCGAGAGTTTTTGTTTAATTGTGTTTCTCAGGCAATCCAGTCAAATTCTACCATCTGTATTATCTGTGTTAATTAAAATTTAAGATTAATGAAATCCAAATGCTATAATAGTAAACGTAATTACAGTGATGATTCCATATTAATTCAGTAATTTGTTTATCTTGGTTCACAAGAGTTATTAGATTGAAAAGACAGCATTGTTTTAAAGGCATGGAGTCAGCTCGTGGTAGGAGAACCTACAAACAAATTTGGACTTTTATCAAGCTTGCTTGAAACTCCCCACCTCAATTACTAAAATAGCCAGGAGGGAAACTTTGTATGATTTCAGCATAGGTCGCATGCTTGGCGTAATGTAAAGTATTATGTTAGTTTGGAAAGAATGTATGAGAAACATAAACTTTCTATTTATTTATTTTTGCATTGTGAATGTCACAGAGTCTTGAAATTGCATAGGTTTTTGTTACCTATATTGGATTCTTCGTTCTACTCTAATCTACAAGAATGTATCAAGAAGTAAAAAGTGATGAACTTATTAAAATGTTCAAAATGTGAAACTGCATCAAAAGACAATTAGGGGCACATACTAGCTCTGGGTATGTTAGGCATAACGATATATATAAATGAACAGTTTATGATTTTCATTCATGGGATGTGAGCATTTGTTGGCAAGGATTTGCGGTCCATTTCCAATTATACATGAGAAGGTAGTGCTAAATACATTAGTTCACACTACAACAGTAAAGAGGAAATCTTTACCCAACATAAATAAGAATGTTATGATCATTTCAGAGGCCTATACACATGGCATGCTGACATGTTCACAAGATGACATGTCAGGCTACATAATTATTTCCAGTTTCTCATGAACTCATCTGATGAGATGAGGCCACAATCCAGAAAATAATACTAAGTGATTAAATAGGTAGAAGGATTCACACACAAACAAGCAAACCTGGATAAAATCAGTGACTTATGCATGCATCCCTTTTCTTATAATGAACATCCCTGCGTGTTTTTTTTTAAATCGTACACAAGAATGTAAACTGACCACAGTCCGCCACTTTCACTTATGTTTGTAATCAATTGAATGCACCCATTTTCTAGAATAAAGCTTTGAGGGAATGTTCATTATAAGTATCTAAATAGAAACTGGCGTCTTTCTCGGTTACAACAGCAGAGCATATTGTCAGGGTGTGCTCTTCCATCATGCATAATACCTACTCTCAGACAATGGAATCACAAGAGCTCTATACTCTATGAAGACAACAAATCATGGATCTAATGAGAGGGGTCTGATTTCCAAACAATCTTCATAGCATCAGAACATATTGAACAAATTACAACTCTGTAGGTGATTGCCAATAATGACTGTATATCATTATTCAATCATAATCCTGACTAAATGTTATACAGCACTGAGATTTTAATTATAGAAGCAAAATAATTTTGCTGTTTTTCAAAGATGGTGTGCTGTGAGAGAAGTCATTTTGTGTTTTGCAAAAGAGTTAATCCCTTTTTATTTAAAACCTCTAATTGATAAACTATTAATATAGCCAACAATTTTGGTATCCTACCAGCAAACTTCATCCAAAAATAGAGCACATGGTTGAGTATTGAGCTCTATAATCCAGAAAGTGCCATGCTTAACAGCAGTCTGTACTAGGTCAGGTGATTCCTGCTGATGCACCAATTTTAGTGCTACCATTGGCCTTGGCACCATTGAACTTGTGCCTGTCTGGACAGGATGCTGGTGGACTCAGAAACGTGCCAAACCATACTATGGCAAATGGTGATTCCACATAGAGTGAGCTATGGTTCAGTTCCTTCAAGTTCTCCTTGGGGGAGACAGGCAACAAAGTCATGCATAACCCAGTCACAATCACAGAGGCAAGCAAGAAAGAGTGGACTTAAAATTATTGGCTCTGCTTAATTTTTGTGGGCAAGTGAATACAAGTAATGACATACAGATGATGAAATCTGTGCTCGTTCTCCATTTGGGTAAAGGAGGTACAAATTCATCCACCGTTGTATCAAGCTAGATTTCATTGATTTGTTCTACCTGTTCTCCATCCTTGTAAGTGTGGGCACCTTTCATCCAAACGATGGTTGGGGTAGGGTCACCTTTGGCCTCACAGGTCAATGTAATCTGCTCTTCAAGCTCTACTGCGGTCTTGTTTTCTACATATGTAATTTCAGGTTTCACTACAAGACAAAAAGGAGTTTTAAATCCTGGTTAATGACACAGCTGGCACCAAGTAATAAGGAATGTCTACGAACTGATCAAATTTGTAGTTAGCTATTACGATGATTCAGCAATTAAAACAGGGGCTGCAAATTCCAAATTTTCAACAAAAACAACATGACATTAACAGAGATAAAAAGGTGTAGAGCTGGATGAACACAGCAGGCCAAGCAACATCATAGGAGCAGGAAGGCTGACGTTTCGGGCCTAGACCCTTCATCAGAAGTCTGCTGTGTTATTCCAGCTCTACACCTTGTTATCTCAGATTTTCCAGCATCTGCAGTTCCTGCTATCTCTGACATTAACAGAATTGCCCTAACTGGGATTTCCCTTTCCATTGTCGTTGTCGGTTTCAGAAATTGGCGCATGGAGCAGCAATTGTTCTTGAGTAGACTAATTCATAAAACACAGCTATTAAATAAAAATGATAACTGCCTTTCGTGGCTGACAGATATTCAAGTGGGGAAATTCTAGGAATATGTAGGTATGAAATGAACCAATTAGGTAATCACCGTGTTCAGAAGCTTTTAAATAAATGTGCATCATTAAAACTATTATGGAGAAGTGCTTACAATTTTAAAAGCTTCCTTGACGTGCACTTTAATATTAAAACCTCCATAATTTTTGAAAAACTACTAATTTCCAGCAACCCACTGCGCTGTCATTTTAAATCATTTAGAGTCTCTCAAACAGCAAGGTGTACAGTTTCTCTGTTTCTTGATCTACCAGCAATGGTTCACCCAAGAGACAAAAGGAAAGTTCTAACCAACCTGTTCAGGGATGTTGTGACGTAAGTAGGACTTGAACATGGGCCTCCTATCCAGGGACATGAGAGACTCTGTATGTCCCTTGGCATGGAGGTAAAAGATCTCACAGCTGTATGTCCAAGAAAAACAAGGAAGATCTCCACAATGTCCTGACTAAAAATTATCCCTCAATCAGCACTTCTGAAATATGGGTTACCCAGTCAAGATCAATTTTTAGTTTGTGGAACCTTGCTGTGTGCAACTATGGCTGCCTTGTTTTCTACTTTAGAACAGACGCTTCTAAAGTAGTGAAATGGCTTTAGGATCTCATGAGGTAGTAAAAGATGCTGTTAAATGTAACTTTTTTTCTACCTTTCTTGAATGCTGCTTTGAAGCAGCTAGCCTAGTGTAAACTCAGTTTTAGGGGTCACGAAAGATGGATAGCAACTCAACAGCTGGCTACTATAGGTCCTACCCAATGCTAACAGAAGGGAAAAATCAACGTTTTGAATGAGAGAGACCTGAACTGTGACAAGGGAGAGGAGTCAGCAATTCAGCTCCTCGTGCCTGTTCCACCATTCAAAGAGATCAAGGTCAGTCTCTGGCCCAACTCCACATACTTGCCTTTGCTTAACAAAAATTTACTTAACGGATATGAACCAAAGGTATTATCTTATGTTTATAATTAACAACTGATCCAGCATCAAATACCATTTATGGAAGAGAGTTCCAAACATTTACCTTCCTGTGTGAGTCGAAGTGCTTCCTAATATCTCTGCAGGAATGATCTGGACCAAATTCTCAGATTATGCCTCCTCGTTCTAGAATCCCCAACCAGTGGAAATAGTTATTCTACCTTGCCTTTTCTTGTTAATACTGAAGACTTCAATCAGATCACTCCTTAGCCTTCTAAATTCTGCAGAAAACAGGCAGAATTTGTATAATCTCTCCTCATAATTTAACTCTTTAGGTCCAGGTATCATTCATGTAAAACCTACATTATATTTCCTCCAAGGCCAATATCTCCTTCCTGAGGTGTAGTGCCCAGATCTGCACTCCTGACTCCAGTAGGCTTAACCAGGGTGTTGTATAACTGCAGTATTATTTTTGCATCCTTATACTCCAGGGGCAAGATCATTACAGACAATTTACACAATGTTTCATCCTTCAAGATGTATTTAGTTATTAATTAGAACTAACCAATCAAATCAGGCGGGACACAGAAGTACCTGATTTTAATTCATGAGTGATTTGTGCCAAGCTTTATGTTGGGAGCATTAAATTGCAACATTTATCTCAAGGGGTAGCTGTACATTCTCTTCTACAAGATAATCCTTTTATTTCATGGTAGAAAATGTGACAGGCTACCATTAGGTTCCATCAAATGACTAAAGTGCATCATATTTTTTTTAAAAATCCTAACAGTTTTCCTAATTTAAAAAAATCTCCATATCAAGCTGTAGTTTAAGATAAAACGTTGATCAACCACTTTTCCATGGTAGATACTATTGAAATATTGATTCTCAACAGCGGCTGCATGACGATCAGTCTGATGCAGTTTGTACCATGCATGGACAGAAACAGAGTTAACATTTCATTTTGATGAAGCGAGTTATTCACCTGTAACATCAACTTGATTTCTCTCTGCAACTGTCACCTTACATGCTGAACCTTTCCTGGGGTTATTTTCCCCCTCCCAGATTCCAGCATCTTCATTACACTACTAGTGTTAGCTATTCACACTGCATGTATTTGTGAACAAATGGGACAGAAAGTTTTCTAAACAAACAAATAATCCTTCTTTAATCCTGCGCTGCTTGAATGAGTGGAAAAAAAAACTCAACTGAAGGGACTTCAAGTAGCAGAATATTTTGCCACCAGAGGGAGCTTCGTTATTTTTCAAAGCTTACTTTGCCCTGCAGTGGTAGAGGACAGAATTGAAATTATTCGCTTTAGTTAAAATGTGTGAATGCCTTAATTTTTTGATACTGATGGTGCATGGATTAGCATCTAAACAAATGCATTCTAGGCTTTCATATTTGGGACATCTCTTGCAAGTTGGACTTCTACCTGTTCTGGAAGATACCCCACAGTCTCCACTGCATCTCAAGCTCTAGGTTAGAAGGCAAATTCCCTGGATGGCTGAACAATTTCCCTGGATTAGAGGCAGATGTTTACTGTGTCAGGTCACAGTAGGAGAAGCACCGTGTTGCTTGATCAAAAAAATCCATTTGCTTTTGTGCATTGTTACAATATTGGTGAACACAGGAGTAACTATATTCAACTTCTAACATTTGATATTTTACCTGATACATCAGAAGCCTAAATGGACTAAAGCAATTGTTAGAGGACAAATACTGACCTAAAATAACTGCTATGATCACTTGACCACATATTACGGCAATCTATATAAAAATACCATGTGTGGAAGACCCTGCAGTCAGCTACTGCTATGTAATATTTATGTGTAATTTGTTTATATGACTGTAGTGACTATCCTTTTAACTATGTCTTATTTCTATGAAGTAATGCAGCTACATTTCTGTTTTATTTCTTTTTTTATATCGAAGACTTGTACCGAAGATGGCACCATAAAAGGCGACATTATATAACTTTTCACTGCATTCCTACACCTCTGTACTTGAGTACACGTGACAGTACAGGATGTTCTATTCTAATGTTGGCATTGCAATGACCATTTCATCCAATGGTAGTGAAACCCGACAATTAAGTCAGCATCAAGAAATCTCGTTTTTAATTCACACTTACATGAGGAGTTCACGTATAAAGAGATTTCCTTACACAGAAAAAAACCTCGTAACTTGGTGCCTTTATTTCAAGCTAGCCAATTATGTTTCAACTGAAGAGCGAGTTGAGTGTTAAAAATGCAAAAAAAAATTTTTGCGATTCACCAAAGGAAAGTTGGGGTTAAAAAGAGGGAAGAATATTCCCTTATCTCACCTAGTTATAATAGGGTCAAATACTGTACTATATTTGCTGAATTCCCCACCTTTATATTGCCACATTAACTACCCAGAAGCTACCTAATAGTAGATTGTTCAAACCAGGTAAGGAGCATTAATCTTTGATTTGTATGTAGCTACCAGCTGAATATTCCTGCACAATGCAGGAGGAAGGGTGGAGGATTCATCGTCTACACTTCTCAAACTCATTCACCCCCAGAACTGCTGGGAAATTGGCAGGATAGGGCTGGCTGGTCTACTCTAATGACAACTGTGTCAAACTGTGCAGAGTTTTACCGAACACTTGGAGGGTGATCTCCAGCTCAGCGTCTCCAGCCTTATTCTGTGCAATGCAGATGTAGTCACCATCATCTCTTTTACTGATTTTGTTTATTGTGAGTTCAGAGCCATCTTCATTCATAATGTATTTATCCCCATCTGCTTCAATTACCACATCGTCTCTGAAAAAGAACACGACAAATGAGATATGTCAGGCTAATAACTACAAATCATAGGTTCAGCAGAGAACGTACATATATCTGCAAGATTGGGGACAGTTTTCTTAGAAAACATAGGTAGTTTTACAGTAACCTTGCGACCATTGGAGGGCTTTATCATGGTTTAACACAGTTATTATTAAATAGATACAGCAAAACTGTGCCATTCTACAATATGATGAAGCACCAAAGCAGATTTTTCTGAACAAAGTTAGCCCCATTTTTCACAATCCTTTATTACAGCAGTAAATAAAGTCAATTTAATTCTTGCACCAGAGGGGAAAATATTTCAAGAAAATAAACGTACTACACATAAAATAAAAGATTTTTTTTAACCTTTTTAACACTAAAACCTCTTGTGCATCATAAAAGAAAGTTAAATCAATTGCAAACAAAGCTTGTTTGGCTCCCATTCTCAGACAGCTTTCCAATTCACATCATAAAGAGTAAAACTGAATTAAAATTAATTCAGATGTATGGAGGTAAATTTAAATAAAAAGGGGAATAATTATCCATACTTAGCTAACTAGGTTTTTGACACCCACATGTGTGAAGTGCAATGTAATAAGTTAGGTGCAACAAATTCAACTGTTTCCTGCAAATAGCATGCGTTGCAGACATGGAACACTACTTGATGCCAGAGGACCTTCTTCTAGTCTTCAGGTTACCACATATTTTATAAACTTATCAAAAAAATAACAGCCTCGTGCTGTTTTAGTAACACGCATGATTAACTCAATGCTAATGTTTTAGAACATTTCAAATGATGTACATCTGCTGTTAAGAAATAAGACACAAACTGATCTAACATAACAAGGTGTAGAGCTGGATGAACACAGCAGGCCAAGCAGCATCATAGGTGCAGGAAAGCTGACGTTTCGGGCCGAGATCCTCCATCAGAAATGGGGGAGGGGAAGGGGGTTCTGAAATAAATAGGGAGTGAGGGGGAGGCGGATAGAAGATGGATAGAGGAGAAGATAGGTGGAGAGGAAACAGACAGGTCAAAGAGGCGGGGATGGAGCCAGTAAAGGTGAGTGAAGGTGGGGAGGTAGGGAGGGG